GTAGGAGCAAAATGTAGATTTCCAACTCTTATATCACCCTTCATAGTAGTATATCAAACTGATTTCTCTCTTGTCCTATAACTAAGACCGCGAGTTTTTTCACAATTTAGCACGAGATTTTTTTTGGAAAGATACTCATCAAGAGTACTAAACTATGCAAAGTACTCGTACCTTATGATCCGAAATGCCTCAATGCCTAAAATGATTCATTCAGCGTTTAAAGCTTCTATCAGGAAAGTAAAACCAATATACATATATATATATATATATATAAAACTTGAGACGTGATTATTGTCGTCTAGACCAGTTAGGTGAAAAATAAAGCTTCCGCCTTTAGTTGGGTACTTCGACAAAATTCAATCAATGAGGACTTTTTATTCTTCGTTAGTCTCTAGATTTCAATGGACTTTGCCATCTTCATCAGGAGCTGCAATAACACTGAGAAGAAGTAGCAACTATTGTGCAAAATGATTTTAAATTAACTTACAATGGTATGTGAGATTGTTGCTAAATGTTATTAACGTTTAAGTTGAGGCAAACATTTAGTATCCTGATGAAAGCTGGATACATGGTACATTCGTTACAATTAATATAAAATACACGCAGCTGTATGTCAGGAACAAATTAAAACGGATTAAAAATATTTAGAACGAAAGTAAAAATTGCATCGTGAACCACCTTGATCATAAGTGAGATGAAACATTTGACAGATGACAGAAGGTTGGTGGTGTCAATGTCGATGGATGGAACGAAAATTTTTGTAAAGTGTGTGCTAAGTTGCCAAATCACTTCAGACCGTGTGATTTATCAACATATGTTAAATAAAGTCTGTTGACAAGTTCTAAATATGTTTAATCCGTTTTAATTTGTTCCTGACATACAGCTGTGTGTATTTTATATTAATTTTAACGAATGTATGATGTATCCAGCTTTCATCAGGTTACTAAATGTTTCGCTCAACTTAAACATTAATAACATTTAGCAACAATCTCACAGACTATTTTAAGTTAATTTAAAATCATTTTGCACAATATTTGCTATTTCTTCTCAATATTATTGCAGCTCCTGATGAATATGGCAAAGTCCAATGAAAGCTAGAGACTAACAAAGTATAAAGAGTCTTGCTTATATATATGTATGCGGTGTATCAAAAATAATAAATTAGTTTTAGCCGCAAAATCACACAGCTTTGCATATCGGAAAGATATGTACAAATAAACGGAAGTACAGGTTTTTTTTGTGGTTATTTGTTTTATGAGCAGAAAATATGAACTTATTTATAGTATGAATTATTAATTTAATATTAAAATGTATGCTAGCTTAGTTATTTTTCATCTTTGAGACAATTCTTAGGCTCATAAGGTATACTTCCAGATGCAGCATCGTTTAAGCATCTCAAAAATTGCTTTCAACCAATGGCCACAGTTTGTTTCAGTAAATTTAGCTAATTATTCCAACTATAAATACAACACAAATTGAATATTTGATGTTAATTATTATACCCTGAAATGAATCAGACAGATATATTTTAGTTTACTAAATACTATTACTTATTGAACTGAGATAAGAGGATCTTTTTAGCTTCATCAAACTGAAATACTGGAGTTTGTAAATTCAGAAAACAATAATATCTAAAACATCTATGCATTATTTATATCACGACGTACCTATATACTACCATAAATTGCATTTAACCATTCAACCAAATGTCCACGTTCATTTTTTTTCATTATCAAATAAAAGGTGTCTCAAAATTCACGCGAGATTAGAACCACGTAGAAACGCAATTTACATTGTTATGTTTCCATTGTCTTATAAAGAAGACAATTTTTTCAGCTCCATTCAGCATAAATGTGATAAGTTTGATGCACGATTATCTGAGAGCTTGTTGGCACTGACTTTTCATAATCTCATAAAAAGAGATCAAATGGTGTTAAATCACCTGCTCCGTGGGGCAATTAAATTCGACCCCCCCCCCCCCCCTGTACACGTCACGTAATTAATGGACAACTTGTGTACTTTATCGCTAAGCAAATAGAAATCTAAAAAACTGCTTTCTAATTCATTCAAGTATTGCCTGAATTTTGAGATTATTAATTATTCTATTTTTATCTGAGACCAATCTTTTGAGAATGAGTTTGACAACAATATGTTTCTGACATGATGGTTCAGAGACACGTTGACTATATTTCTAGGGTAGAAGGTACATCGGAAAATAACTCGAAAGTTCCTAGAAACATGTCCCCTTACCTAGATACAGGGTGTTAAAGTTATAATTTAATAAACAATTATATCTTCGGAGTGGATTGAGGCATTCCAAATAAATTTTATACATATAGTATAACAGCATAGCCAACATGGACAAAAAAGTTCAGTGGCGTACAATTCGAGAGATATTAACCCCTACACAAAAGAAAAAATGTACTAGGCCACTGGCCTTTTGAAACATCTATTGCACATTTAAATAAAGTATTCAATTTTGCACAAATCGCGTAACTTGAGAATGTTTGTGAGACTACCCCTTTTGGAGGCTAATTGGAAAGCTTGAAGTAAAATCCGTATAAAAACCTCCAATCTTTTCTGCTTAGAAAATACGCTGAAGTTAGTGAAGCTCGATGTTGAAAATTGTGTGTGGTGTGTTAAGAGATGAATACAATCTCAACATAGCGCTATTTGAACAATATTCCTGTCTTGTCCTTACTCGGTCTCATCAGTGCTGTATAAGACTACAGATGTAAATAATTGATCTTGAAGGTATCGAAATCTGGTTCGATCCACCTTAAGCGTACATTGGGTGAAATCCCAAAGCTAAGTTACACAGATCGCCCCCTAGAGCCTCTAATCTCAAAAACGTTTTATTTTTTACGGGCGCAACTTTGCTCAAAAAATGTAAAAAAAATCGTCTAAGCTACATTAGTGTGATTTTTTGCAGATATGAGAAACTGGTATGATTGAAAATAAGCAAAAAAATCACAATTCTGAGAACTGAACCGAAAACAGCATAGAAAAATACATATATAAAGTGGGTTGCTCTGATTGTCAAAAATTGAGGAAAATCTGACAAAATACGTTTTTTCTCATTTACGAAATTTTCCGGGAAACAAATCACAATTTTGGCTTAAAACCTGTCAGTTTGAACAGGTGGGTAGGTTGAGTTGAAGAGTTAAGCAGATTACAGTATGGTGTACTTTATAAAATGTCAATAATTAAGGAATGTCAGTGAATATGTAGTGTTTCCGATTTTTGGCGATTTTCCGGGCAAAAATTCACGATTTTGTTAGTGGATCTGAAAAGAACGACAAAGTGGATTTTTAGGTTTGCGAAATTTTCGTTACCTATCCAAAGGTTCGAAAAAAGAATTCAAAAAATTTGTTTCCACACCTATAAGTTCTATATCTATATCTATCCATAAAAACACATTTATGATGACAGTAACAATGTAGCTTTGCTTAACATTTTAATTTTTAGCAAAATGTCGCCCGTAAAAAAATATCTTCGGTAAAACACGTTTTTGAGATTAGGAGCCCCTACGGGCGATCAATCGATCTGAAAAATTGGGTATGGTGATTACACTCAATGCACCTCGATTTGGATTGAACCACATTTAGATACCTTTGGGGGAAATTTTAATATTATGTAGTTTCGCCTACAATCAATGTACAAAACCGTATATCTTGACAATAGAGCACTCCAAAACAAATATTCATATAGGAACGTTTTTTGTTATTTATGGATGTACTTTCTACCATAAAAATACTGCCACGTTTCTCTAAGTCACCCTGCATACAAGCGACTATTGTCACGCATAATTAATTTTTTCGAAGCGTCATAACTTTTATTGATATAATCATCGGGAAAAGGAGGCACGGTTATCGTGTACGAAGAACCTTCTGCTTTAGCTCAAATATGTTTTTTTGATAAACGTATAATAAAAATATCAGTCTAATCATCCAGTTGTTCCAACATTTTCGTCAGAAACAACATTATTCACACAAAAATCCATAGCACATATACTTAACCAATCAACATGTTAGAACATACATTTAAGTGTCAAAAAGCACAGATGAGATATCTATAGAAAAATACATCAGACTTTGATTTGTTTGATTATGTAAAAAATGACAATTTACATCAAGTCATGTTTGCTCCCCCTCTAAAAGACAATGCAGCTTCGGTTAATAAACGCAAATTTTATAACTTTAAAATTATTGAAGACTATCATCAGTTTTGAAACTTCTTGCAATGTGTTCTTTATATCATCGCAATATGAATTCAAATTTTCTTAACAACATGGCCTAATTTTGACACATGTGGATTGTCATTTCCTTGTACAGGATGAGCTTTTAGAGTGTGGATTCCGCTGACATCTTATTTAAAAAAGCTACAAAAATTACGAGCAATGCATCGTTGCTAGAAATTATTTACGCAAAACACACACGCTTATTCTATCAGTAACGCTGAAATTAAGCTAGACAAATATATATTTAAATATCAAAACCCAAAGATATGTGTGAAGTCATATTTGAAACGTCTGAGAAGTAAGTAAATTTTGTGTTTCTCGAAGAGCTAAACAGTTATCTGGAAAGTATATAAAAGTACGATTTTAGATTTTATGACAAAACGTCCTTTCAACCTAACAATCCGTACTATATATATACTTCGATGTTTTAATGGAGCAGCTATGTATTGCAATGTCCCAAAAAATAGAAAAATTCTTCGTTTGATTTGACATATGCGATCGACTTTCTTCTTAGACACTGTACCTATCTTTTTTAAAGCTAATAAAAGCTCATTCTGTATCTGATTATGTGCACTATAATATGGTTGATTTTTTTCAAGAAACTGATTTAAGATAATAATTGTCGTGAAGTCTGATGTTGTTGAAGAGGATTATGTATTTTATTGAACTGTAAAATAGGCATGTGATAAAGTGATAAAAAATAGATTAAAAAAAGATATATATGTATGTAAATTCTATTTATTTCAAAAATGTGTAAATTAAATTTTGTAATAAAAGTATTATCCAAAACATTATTTCATTACTTTCTTTTATTTACTGTTCATATGTACACATTTTCCATATACTATATGTACATTAAAATAAAAGCATGACTAGCAAAAGAGCATAGAAATACACGTTTTATTTCTATCATCATCAGCGGAAAAGTTTGGGCAAATTATGACTTTCTCTTTATCAGCTCGTTTCAAAAAGGTCCCCCTAATTATTTTTTGAACAAGTCAACAATCCAAAATCCGGGATGGTGAAATTAAGACTATTAACAAAAGACGCAAGCCTTATAGATATTCCATGAAAAGTCGCTTGGCCAAATAAACCTTGAGATTTTTTGTGTATTTCACCAGTCAAATATTGCCCACAATACTTTTAATACTAGAAAATGTGACAGCAAACATCAGCTGATCATTCAATTTCAAATTCAAAATATCCCATATCATCAAGTGACAGAAGCGTACCTTCCTTGTACCTACTGGTCCGTACTTCCTAGCAGGATTTAAGCCATGATTTACATCAACTCATTTTCCCAACTTGAATTATGATTTAAAACAAGGCATACATTCTCGAAAGCAAAAGAACCGTCGGATAGGTTCATTTTTTGATGGGATATGACTAAAACGGAACGTAAATATGTATCCGCGTAAAGTAAATCCTCAAATGCTGACTGGAGTCTGGACAAGCATACGCTTGGCCTTATTCCAGGCCGGATTAAGTAAATAGTTAACGTTTTTGTAAGTGTGATGAGTAAATAAAAAAATCGTCTTTTCGAGTTGTTCAATAGAATCCTGGTTTTTATCAACTCCGATTCTTAGGGATGCTTACGGTTTTGTCCGATTTATTTTGTATTAAACAATTCGAACAGCTTTCATTTGCAATCAAAATGAGCTGATCGATATAGCTGCTAATAACGATGACTACATTTTGAAGTTATGAAAGGTGTGGTTCTCTTTTCCCCGCTGTGGGTTTCTCCAGAATAAGACAATGGGGGGTTCGAATCAATTTATATTAACGAGTAATCAGAGATAAAACAAACCTGGTTTGGAACAATCGTAATTTTCTCTGACTTCACCTATCAGCGTTCTGCCACATACTGAATGCCAGCAGATTCACCTTGCCAATAGTTCCAAATTAACAAAATGGGACACTCAAAATCACGTCAAAAGTTTCACGAAAAATAGTTTAGGTTGGTCATCAAATAAGACGAAAGGTTCAGTTGAATGTAGAAAAATTACAAAGTCTAATATCTATAGCAGAGAAAAATAATACACATATTGCATTTATATACAAATATCAATCCAACCATTATGCTTTTACCTCTTTTGCAGCTATAGTCCTGTACCATGAAAAGATACAAAACTCTGGAAGTACTTCCCTTCTACAACTGATTCTTAGAGGTATTTTAATACACATAAATAATTATTTCCACTAACAGCACATCCAATTTCACTCTGCTATCAAAGACTAAGAAGCTATCACAGGTTGGTTTTTTCCAAAGAGTGAACTGTAGAGTTCAGTTTTAGCCTCATCTGTCCACAAGTTCTCATCAATGGGTGCCATGAAGTTCACCAATTTTGAATGTACAGCGTACCTTATCTTCCTGCCTTTAGATGCTCTTGTGTCTACTTTCCTCTTCATTTTACTCCTCAAGTTTTGCAATTGTATCCACTGCCTACCCAACTGAACCGGATCTGTTACATCTGCCGATTTCATTTCTATCAGTTCACGCAGCATCTGATGATAGAAGTCATCATCGTCAAATATTTCCGTATTATATTCATCTACATGCACAACTACTTCACTAGGATTTTCTTCAGATTGTTGCTTACTCTCTTCCCCAACAATCCTATAATTACTGCGCTTCAGCTGAGTACGTTTTATCAACTTTGTTTTATCACTTAAAGTGTGCTCTATATGACTTATTATGGAATGCTGATGTATATTAGACTTGATCGCTGCTATCCTTGTTTTATCATGCCATTTTTGTATCACGCTATTCCTATACTCTTTATATTTGTTGTGTCTAGCATCAATTTCGGATTCGTAGTTTATTAGCTTTCTTTTCTTGACTTGAGGTTCTTCATCGATATCCTGAGCTTCTTCCTCACCTTCAGTATCACTTGGAATTTCTTCATCATCATCATCATGGTCTGTTTTATCATCACCTTTTGTATGTGCAAGATTTTTTGTTTCAGGGTAGGTCTTCAGCGCCAATTGTTGGAAAAGGAGTAACTTATCTAAAGCATTACTTAAGCTATTTTTAGTCTCAACCACTTTTTCAGTAAATTCTTGGCCGGATTCCTTCTTCATTCGCTGATAATTTTGAGGCTGCGGCATTTTGTTTGCAGCAATGAGACACTTTTGCAGTTGTATTCTCATTTCTAACAAATTTTCCCAAATATTAAGCTGATTTCTAACAGACAATCCTTTTGCGATCTGGCTTGTCATATCAGTTCCCTTCAAAGGTGTAAAGCTAGTTTCAACTTCATCATCTTGTGATCCTCCAGAGGCATCATCTTCAGCCAGGGATGAATGTTCACTTTGGGCACTATCTTCATCACTACCAATATCACTATCATCTTCATCGTCTTGTTCTGAGGATTCACTGTGCACAGCTGACTCTTCCGGTTCATCATCAGAATCTTCATCCGACCCTACCAAGTCCTTTCGTGTACCTTTCTTACCAGCATATCTTTCATCAACATCAGCTAATAGCTCTGAAATAAAGAGAATAGAAGTAAAATGTGAACACGTTTATGGTGATCGTACATAATAAGTGTCCCACAATACAGGGAAACTAAATTTGACTGACGGCTTAAGTTCTACGTGTACGAAAGACGAGCGCCAGAAGAGTGTATGACTACATGTTAGAAATAAATAGAAGCCAGCTGAACAGCAAAAGGTCATCATCCCCTCATTGTCTAGCAATGGTGATGCAGAAGAATTTAATTTAATATCTTGTTTTCATTCTGATTAGAATTATTAATTTCAATTTTGATGCAACTTACTGTTTTGAATTATTTTAGAATTACCTTCGATTTCCACCGAAGGTGGTTCTTACATTTCGCGACAGCGAGCAGTCGGAAAGTGCAACAAATACCAGTACGCAATACAAATTATCACGTGTACGCAGGTGAAAACCATTTCAAAGCAGGACGACACTCCCCAATAAGAGCTAGATGGGTACTAACCAAAACCGTTCATGTATGATCATGGAGGTGGAAATATTGCCTTGGAATATACGAATAAACGAACTAATGATGCAATGTTGCAGAATTTGTGGCGATCCTGGTTCTCAATGTATAGAGTACTAGGCGTACTCGCGTATTCTACTGAGTACCCGTTTTTGCCGGGTATTAACGTTTCCAACAATCGAACGCACCTTGATGAAATAGCCAAGGTATTTTTGCTAGAAATGGTTGGTTTCTTATGAAGACCCAAAAAACATCAACAAAACCCATAAGACAATTTAGTAAAAATGCGGACAAAGTAAAATATCGTCAAAATTTGAAATCTAACTGTCGAAATTTGAGCAGCAAATCACTGCTTTCGTCCAACAAGAATATAAATTCTAGGGATTATATGACTTTCAAATGTAAAACTTCCTTTTGCAACTATAAATTTTACTCCACAAATCTAAAAATATCTTCCTGGCATGTTAATATTCTCTTCTAATAGGAAAGATTGAAGAGTGTATCCAAAAATGTTTTCAATTCTGATAAAAGAACTTAAATATAATGATAACTAAAGTACTCAGCCTTTTGAAAATAAAGTAGTGCTTGATGCATCTCTATCAATAAATAAACACAAGGCTCGCTAACTAAAAATCTTTGGTGCCACACATTTTGGCTTTAGTACAAGCCTTTCCAGTATATACATATGTCACAGGCAAAAATGATAAACCAGGCTTGAGGAATTGTTTGAGGTATCAAATGTTTTTGATATTTATACACAGTATTAATAAGGGCACATAGTATCAGAAATAGGTTGAGATCAGTAAATCGTACTCATGATACACAAAACAAAAATATTGCAGAAGTCCTGAAACCAGAAAAAATGTACTACAGAAATTGTACTGTTTTCTAGATTTTATAATCTGCATCCTAGAAAGCTATAACAAATAAATTCTATTGGTCTATTCAAGAATAGAGTAAATGAACCAATACACCAGATTATTTATCTAAAACAGAATTGAAACAATAATTTTGTTATTATTATGTGGTTATAAAAGACTACCAAAAGTACCTCCCGGATAAGACACTGATAATTGAGTTCATTTAAATTTTAATTTTTTTAGCCTACTAGAAATTTAGTTACAAGCCAATACTATTACCCTGATCAAGACAAACAAAAGTTTAAGTTACACCCATGTAGTATGTTTAATATGAAGCAATTGTAAATTTTAGGATGGTATTTTTAATAGTTGCACCCATCACGAAGATTGTGCTTCTGCAGGTTCTGGATCTATTTGTACCTAAAAATATGTTTTGTGTTGCAGAAATGTATTATTCCTTTGAAACAATTAAATATTATTATCAGTTGTACTAGTATTTTTGGACACAACTGACTCTTTTAAATTAACAATGCTCTTGATATTATCAAAAAAAAATACTACTATGCATTTTTAGTATAAATATCTCTTTTTTCCAGATAGCTCTCAAAGCAGGATACAGAGCCATGTATAACTACCTACACTGGTCTGCTTCTGTCAACCAATCCAAAGATTTTTACAAATTTGCAATATTCAGATAGTTTCTAGCAGACTAGGCTGCTACTTTACACAGTGCTAGGCCATAGGGGGTAGGTGCAACCATGGGTGCCCTCACTTGGAGGATGGACCTCAAAATTTGCTTATAGACCATGCTTTTGTGTACAATTTTGGGAAAAATTGTTACCCTCGCTCTGTAAAAAAAATTTGGGGCAGGTACACTTTCACATAACATTTTTGGAGTAGGTACACTTCCAGAAAAAGTTATATCTTGCCGATAATCAGATTGCCTTAAGAAAAATTAATGTGGATGCTCATGGGAGATACACAGGTACATGTTCACAAATTGTTGTCTTGTGTTGATGACTTGCCCTCCTGAGTATAATTCCTGTGGGCGTCCATGGGAGCAACTCAACATAAGCAATATGTTAAGGAAATTCTAATGAATCCCTCTGGAAGAAGGTATCATCAATACTTTGTCCAATTACATCTTATAACACCCCAATAATGGTCAATCTACTATCACTCCTCTAATCTACCGAGGATTGCCACTCAAGACAGAAGATATAAAAGTTTACTTAAATACCTTACAATCGAAGAGTCAGCATACCTACTAGGGCATTTTACATAGGTGAACTATGCCTTAGCTAGCTTACCTCGCCGTGTGGCCATCGCCTAAAAACACAAACTTATAATACTCACCAATGTTTTGTTTTCTGAATTTACTCAGCAGTTGTTCCTCATCAGAATTAGCATCTTCAACCTCCTCCTCCACTATAGCTTTCGTTTCGTCTGTTCCATCCTCCGGATCTTCATTGACAGGGGCTGCTACCAATATGTTAGCGATCTTATCCGCCAAAGTGCCTGTTGTCTTAGGATTTTTCTTCATTTTCAAAAGTAGAACTAGATTTAAGCACGCAAAATAAGAACATAACAAAAAGTAAGGTTATGCTTGTGCTTGTGCTTGTCACATGCTTGTCAGTTCACTTCACTCACTTTCACTCACTGTCAAAGTTTTGTCAACTAACTGTCAATCACAGATACGGGAACTTGAGATACGCGATTACTTACAATTTACTTTTTCGAATGAATTGTGTCATTTCAATAATAATAATTCCTCATTCCAATGATATTTTTAAATTCGAATGAATAATTCGATAAAAAGAGCGAGTCAGTCGAATAATTATTATTTTTCATGTGTTTGTAATGACAGCAATTGTACCACGGAGTACTACTAATAATCCGTGGTTGTACCTCAAAATAAAAGTATTAAGTTCCTGAGACACTATTATTAAGTTCCTAATAATGTATGGTAATAGTATGAATTATTAAAAGAATATAGTATGATAACATTAACTAAGAATATAATAATGTACGGGTACTATCCTGTTCATATTATGATAAAATTATTACAAGCTTTTACATGATTATACTTTAAGTTTCTATGATGTTTTACCTTTTGAGTGATTTTATTATCTTGTTATATAAAAATATTTGCTTATAATATGTGTTACGCTTAAATCGAAAACTTGAATGAGAAAACTAATTTTAAACTACTTATTTCATTTCTATTCATACTCTTCAATTACTCTTCCATTCACAACTAAGTATTTTCAGATCAAAAATACCCTAGATGTTAATACAAACATGCACATCATCATATGTTTGATAGTTTGATATAAATCAGTGTAAAATATATAATATGGGTATTTAATTTTCATTTGTTATGTAATTACTTTTTGATTTATTTCTTTTTTAAATTACTTTTTTTTGATACCTGTCTACTCCAGTAACGCGCGGCATGAGCTTGTGTCACATCACAAAACATAATATACACACACATGCTTGTGTTCATATGTCAAAGTAATGTCAAGACCTTGTGGTCGTGAGACCTAACCTAACATCTATAATATAAAATTAAACACAAATTCCTGAGAAATCTTAAAAAATTGTATAACTCGACAATCTGTCATGAGATTAACAAATATATTATTTTCAAGAGTTGGAAAATGGTCCAAACAGTTTTCCAACCTACCCGATAGGTATATAAAGAGAGCCATGGAGCAGGTCTACTGGAGAAACCCAAAAGGCATTCAGTACAAACCAAATTCTGTAATTCAAAGAAAGAAATTTATTTTTGGTGTACATCGACCATGGACATACCAATTCCGCGATGAAAATTTTCCAGGAAAAATGCCCAAGAAGATTTTCGTAGAACCAATAAAGGAATGGAGCCATTTTCGTGGAGATAGAGTTGAAATACTCGTTGGTGAGTATTTTGGATATCATCTTGCCCCTGGTTGCAGTACAGGATGACGTAGAATAACATGTCAATCTCATATGCATATAGTACACAAAAAAATAATGCCACATGTTCCTATAAACAAGGTATAATGCCACATGTTCCTATAAACAAAGCATATGGGGCTCCTCTAAGGAGATACAGACCAACTTCGCCTAGCATCCTTTAGGGCCTGTAATAGTGATGGTACACGTAACATAACCACGTTTTTAGGGGTTATTGCAGTCTTAACATGTACATAGTGAAACCTGGGTAAGTGGATTCTAAGAGACCCAGAATTTTTTATCAGAGTATCTTCATTTAAACATTTTTCCAAATAGGCAGGTTAGAAAAGTCTTGTTTATGGAGTGACCCATTTGAGAGATAAAAATGTATCATACAAAATTCTAATGTTGGCAAACTGAGATGCCATAACTTATCTAAACCTAATAAAATATTTCACTTACGCCTCCTAGTGAGCTCATCCTTATTTTAAAGTAATCATTTAAAAATCTAAGAAATCTCAATATGGTTTGAATATTCCCAGTAGCCTCTCATATCCAGGGTTCCTTGTACAAAATGTAAATTGAAAGTGCCTCGACATATCACTTTACTTGAAATAAAGTAATCAACACTTGAACAAAAAGATGGTGTCAAGTAGGTTAACTTTGAACTTTCCACACAGCGCAGTCATCAGGTTGTAAAGGACTATGTTAGGCACAAGTTAGCCCTTTAAGAGAAACATTAGCTATGTACATGTATAACAAAAAATAAATGAATCACGTCAGCCAAACAAGCTCATACAATTAAAATTTGAAGATCTTCTTAAGATGTCATTTTAAAAAGTTTATCGCGATTACAATACTTACTCGCCCATTGATCATTTCAATAATTTGTTCTGAATCCTGAATATTCTTATCACAGGCAAAGACAAGGGCAAACAAGGCATCATCAAAGAGATCATCCAAGAGCGTAACTGGGTCATAGTTGAGGGCCTCAACTGCAAACTGACAGTTGTTGGAGAGGACAAGGAATTCAAAGGAGTATATGTTCGCGAAGAAGAGCCACTATTGGTTACTACTGAAATAGCATTGGTCGATCCATCTGACTTGAGACCAACGACAATCGAATGGCGTTATACAGAAGATGGCGACAAGATACGAGTGTCAGTAAGGACTGGAAGGGTCATACCAATGCCCACTACCATGGAATCAACCATCGATTATAAGACACGAAATACCTACCTTGAACAACCCAAAGATACTACTGCTGATGTTATCAAAGATATAACCTTTGAACCAAAACTTTGCACCTTTGAAATGGACATAATGGAAAAAATGGGAATCAAAGAAGATAGAATTCCTCCAAAGTCTTATTGGTATTAAGTTATAATGTAGTATAAATTTTGCATATAATAAATTTTATAATTAAAGTCGTTCAAGTTAATTTTCATTTTCATTTCATTTTTAGCACTTCAGGTATTCTTAAACGTTATCGCAATGTTGTAAAAGTATCTTTGAATGTCCATTATTACACGGCACCCCAGATTCCTTACGAGTATTCGAAATTCAAAGCACCAAATTACCTAAATGTACTAAGTTCTATTTGCTTGTAACAACAGACGACGACAAGGTAAATTCTATCCCACAGTGCCATAATATTTTGGGGTTTTCAATGACAATATTTATAAAAATTCTTGTATATATATCTATGATCAGGACGAAGACATAGGGGATAGAAAACGACCCACTTTATGTCGGCCACACGATGGTTAAGTCGTTCAAGTTTCATTCAAATTCCTATAATTTTCTGAGGTTTTCCATGAACAAATATAGAACAACCCTTACGAGTATTCGAAATTCAAAGCACCAAATTACCTAAATGTACTAAGTTCTATTTGCTTGTAACAACAGACGACGACAAGGTAAATTCTATCCCACAGTGCCATAATATTTTGGGGTTTTCAATGACAATATTTATAAAAATTCTTGTATATATATCTATGATCAGGACGAAGACATAGGGGATAGAAAACGACCCACTTTATGTCGGCCACACGATGGTTAAGTCGTTCAAGTTTCATTCAAATTCCTATAATTTTCTGAGGTTTTCCATGAACAAATATAGAACAACCCGTTTGCTCTAGTTAAATCCACTGGAGGTCCTAAATGGTCCATTTTTTACATGTCTAAATCAAGCACCGATCCAGGGGGGTCATGAGCGCCCCTGGGCGAATCTAGTTTGACCACCAATACTTATGACTTGATGATAAATTTAATAAAACCGAGAATTTTTGCAAAAAAAAAACAAAAATTTTGGCATTTACATAATATTCAAAATTTTAACTTACATTCGAACAAATTTCCCTTAATTATCATGGCCAAAAAATAAAAATTGATAGAGTTATCACTTTGAAATATCTTGGAAGCCAGGATTATATCCGAGGAACAACATATCAGGAAACAGAGATACTTGATACAAGGCAACTTTACTTCTTACATGTCACCACCTTTTACTATAAGTATTGTAATGAAAACAATTCTACAAACACGACGAGCATTACACACGATTTCGAATAGGCTCATCTAATATCCAAAGACCACAAAAAACATACAAAAAATCATTTAAATTCTTAGCAGCTAAATTATATAATGTAGTACCAAACCAAATAAAAATACTTAATTTTGGAAAAAAAATTAGACGAAAATTGAAAAACTGAGTTTGTACTGTGCAGCGAATGACTATACATAATTATATAGAAAACTAAAACTATAAAATTCCAATTATATTAATAGGTTTTAGGATTAACAATAATAATTGTTATAAACATATGACTGATTTTTGGTTATTAAGATATAATCCACACACAGGCGATGTCTTTTCTGTGCTCTTTTCATATTTGCCCATTTTGTGTATTTTGGCGAATAAATATTATTATTATTATGTAGTGGATACGAGCGGGTAAAAATCACCAGATTTGGTGAAAAATCACCACACTTTACAACCCTGATCAATTGGTAAACGCAACGATGATGGCGTGGAAATGAGAGGGTTGCGTAAGTCTGGTTGTCTATACGTTCAGCTTGATGCAAATATAAATAAAATGACGATTCTGCATTTTTCGGCTTGGTAGCACTGCATGACCGTTAGTGCAAGTTAAGACTCGTGTGTTCTGTGATTGAGGTAGTTAATTGAAAATTCGGACAGGAATATAAGAAAACTCATTTCCGCGCGCGCCATTAATAACACCTTGAGAATTTGATAAACTACTTTTTGACGGACGAAATTAGAGAAAAGTGGTTTCGTTTGATTCAAAGTATTACGTAAGCAGATTTATTACAATTATTTACCCCCCCATCATCCTTGTCAGCAAAAGTAAGCAAAGCTCTTACCCCCTCCCCCCATGCTTACGTAAACATTTGTCAATTAATGTATTGTTTTTTTAATATTATAGTTATAACGTTATAATAATAATTTGAAAAATAAGAAAATAGGTTTAGGATAGAGATTATATTTTACTGATACGGTATTCAACATACAGTAAAGGACAAACATATGATATCTTACTAACATAACAAACTTATTTTAAATTTTTGGTACATATATTGAATTCAAATTAAGTCTTCAGTCCATTAAACCCGAATCCATGATTCTAAGTTTTCGATGACAATGGATTGCTTCGATTGCTGCTCAGTGTTGTGAGTTTACTCGCTTTCATCGGATTTTAGAATGTCTACGTCGTTCTCATCGAGCCATTCAACGTCATGGTGCTCCAAATTTTGAATAATGCACATCAGTTCATTAGCACGACGAGCAGCGACTCTTACAGGTCTAACTTTCCTGTCAGTGTGCGTGTTTACTTTTTTATGGATATTTTCGATGTGACGATTTAGTGACTTGACGGAAGCATGATAAAGACCACACGTTTTGCATGTTCGACTTGATAGCCTGAATTTTACCGTTGGACAAAAATAATCGTAGGGCATTTACAGGAAATCTTTGAGTGAAGCACTTAAGCGTAGAGCTAGATTGACTGGAAGATTTAGAAATTGCCCTCCTTCATCCAAAACCAATTCATCAACTTTTTGCTTTACTTTTACAGCTGGTGGAAGAAACCTATTGTCTAGTAATCTAAACAGGCCACTTCTTGGACGACAGCATTCTGTATTTATTTCTACATTTTACAATTTGAAGCAAGTATTGGCTCTCACGCACATGTCTGGAAAATCAGGAAGATCTTGTTCACCTGCCCCAACATATTTTGCATTAACATTATAGCCATCAATTTTCATTGAACTCCATACTTCAGCTAATACATTTCCTGCAAATTCGAAATTAGATCTTTCTAAATTTTCATCAATTGTAACGCCACGTTCATCCAAATGAGACCCAAAATGGTCATGAGGCAATATTAAACCAGCCAGTTCCCGACTAAGAGGGGAGCCATTCTGCGCTCTACTCTGTTATTCGCACTTTTTCCAGGAGCATTGGTAGCTAAAAACAATGTCGGTTAAAGTGTTGTATGACTTTTTGATAACGTGGATTTTCATCTGGCCCTCCATCAACCGTCATGATTACCACTGGTTTTACTAGTCCATGGTCAGTTTTAGCTAATGGACGAAACTCTTCAAGTTCGAGAAATCCTGAGCATGAGTATTAGCAGTAGATGAACTATGCTTGCCACTTATCCAACGGCTTGCGGTTGTCCTAGCATATTGGAAGTGATTTTGATACCAGCATAAACAGATGGTATGAATTTATGACGCTCAGCGATTACCCAATCGTGATCAGGCAATTTGATTCTATATTCCATGTGCATTAGAAGAGGTGCTTGCTTATTTGCCGCAGATACTCCAATAGGGACTGGAGCTTTATCATCTTGAGATATGAAAAATACTTAATCTGGTCCAAGTATGGATGCTATGTTCTCTAAATAATGGATTGATGTTTCAACGAACTTGCTATCTAAGTGGCTCTTGTGGTCATCAGTTTGAGCCCGAATGAGCTTAACGGGGACTGTCGATACATGTCTTCGTCCCTCTGCAGAATTAGATTTTCTGGGAATCAAACGAAGATATGTCCCACTGCGATTAATGTCAAATCCTATTTTACGTAATTCTTGTGTGAGTTCATCAAGAGTCTTTACGCTGCGAATTGATTCCCTTCATCTTCTATCATCTGCTGCACTCCCAAATAAAGCTATATCCGCGATTGTTTTCAATAGTGAATGTTGATTGCTTTCAAGATTAGGACGTCCCACTGAATGACTCAGAGATAGTCTTTTTTTTATTTCTGGATTTTCATGACAAATATCTTCTAACTTTCTTTTCATACCATCCCTGTGTTTCTTCTGGGCAATTGCGTTTTGAACCTTCCTGTTTAAAAACTGTTTCGCTGTTTTTATTTCCTCGCGCAACTTAATGATCTGTTTATCAACTTCTACTCGGTTCTAAAGCGAGTAGGGGAATTACCGCGCGCTGTTCACTAAACGTATGCATTATTTGCGGAAATCCCCGAAAATGCGTTTCGTTTTCAAGCAAAGACAATGTAAGGGTTGCCATTCGTGTAAAAAAGTAAATAACTACCGTTGACAAAATCATCATCTAGACTCTCCTACCCCCATGTCATCCCAAATAAGCAAAGCAAAGATCCTCTCGATTTACGAAACACCTCTTAGTTCCGAAGAAACAGGCCGCTGAAAGAGATGTCGTTGGAAATAGTTTATCTTAAATAATTTTCACACATCGTCGCTCAAGCCCATCGCGTAATTAAAAAATCGGCACCATCAAGGTATGCGTATCTTTTGATAGAGGATTCTAAAGATCCACCGCATTTTGATATTTTAAAGAATTGTCAGTTTTGAGTTACGCTCAGTTAGAACTCCAATGGAAAATATTAACTCATTTAGTTCATCAGAGACGGACTAGCAACAAGCGGTAATTTTTCACACGTTTGTATAATAGTACCTAATGACTTATAAATAGTATTTTTGGAAATTGAACTGTTCCATCTACAACAATGTAATGCGATCTGCGGTTGATTCAAGAAATTTATACATGTTTAATCTTGATAATATCCACCGTTTTCGCGGATGACCCATGTTATGAGAATTGCTAAATTTCCAGAACGGGGATTCCAGTATTCGGAAACAGTTCCATAATTTATAAAACTGCACCAAAACAATCAGGCTATTTTACTCCAAAACGTCAGAACTGATCAGTATATCGGAATCCCCGTTCACCCTCGAGACGAATATCCTCCTGATCATAAATCCTGTGCCCCGCCCCCGACACAAATACTGGATCCGCCCTTGACACTCCACAATTTTTCAAGTATCGTATTCAGATTCAGCGAGCCAAAGTACCTGGGGCTTCGAGGTCCTATAGGTAGATAGTTTATTGACCTTCTGGATGATGTTACATGGTATAAGACTGTCTAAAAG